CCCCCCTCCCTCCCTCCCTCCCTCCCTCCCTCCCTCCCTCTTTTTCTCTTTCTCTCTCTCTCTCTCCTCCAGGCCAGGCATAAGCTATGCTTCAACCAGTGACTAGTGAAGTATCTCTGGACACAATGAGACCAAAGGCTTTGATGGCCCCAGTGCGGCTGGGCTGGGACTTGCTGTACCTCGTGATGCTGGCATAAGGCCCAGCAGGAGAGGCAGCCAGCAGCAGCAAGCTGACATCCGCTCTGCTCTACCCCAAGTCTCAAGAGCAGGTCTGTCTGCTGTTCTCACTCCTTTGGGGTTACATGTTACCCTGCATGTCCATAGCAGCAGCTAGCGAGTGAGTACGCCACCTGGGAACCTGTAGAGGTCAAGAGAGAGGGGGCTGTCGGGTGGTGGCTCATGTCTTTAATCCCAGCACTTGGGAGACAGAGGCAGGCGGATCTCAATAAATTCGAGGCCTGGTCTACAGAGCAAATTCCAGGACAGCCAGGAATGTTATATAGAGAAACCCTGTCTCAGAAAACAAGAGAGAGAGAGAGAGAGAGAGAGAGAGAGAGAGAGAGAGAGAGAGAGAGTCTGTTTGCTCACGCCCAGGCAGAGCTAGTCAGCTTCAACATACAAGAAAGCACACCAACGCCCTGACTTTCTCTGCCATGGTCCTCATGACTCAGGGGCCCTAGAAGCGCAAAGGCCATGGCAGAGCGCCTGCTGCCTGGAGCACAAAGGCACATCTCAGATGGACTACGGATGGAACCAAATTCTCGCCTTAGATTCTGAAACAGACAAGAGAGGGCTGAGCTGGGGACAGCTCCATTGCTACTGCATGTCTCAAGCTGAACGCTCAGAATCAATGGGAAACAGACAGGTGTGGTGACAAATTTATAATCCCACTGCTAGAGAGGACACACGGGATTCCTGGCCAGCCAGTCTCACCTAAGTGGTGAGCTCCAGATCAATGAGACTCTATCTTAAAGGAGGCAGGTGGCTGTTCTCTGGCTTTCACGCATGCACACACACGCGCGCACACACACATACACACACGTACACATACATTTTTTATTGCCTATTTATTTTTGTGGGGGAGGGGGACAGGGATGCTTGTATGTCCCATAGGGCACACGTGGAAGTCAGATGGTTCTCTCCGTGCGCCATGCGGGTCCAGAGACTGAAGTATGCTTATCAAGTTTGGTAGCAGGAGCCTGCTTTTACCTGCTGAGCCATCTTGCCAGCCACCCCCACCCTCCACCCCCCATACACACAAGGAGGGCTTCTGGGAGCAGGCAGTATAATCACAATAGCATTTTGCAAGCTGACTGTTCGAACCATTGACATGACACACTCTCAATAAGCCACGAGGCGGTCACTGTCTCATCCCCACAGGGAGGTGACTCACCACCAACCTGAGGGGCAGATCCAGAGACTGAGCGAGCACACCCCTGTCCTGCATGCCTAATGGCTGCTGGGTCAACTCTATAAACCCGTGGTCCCTTCCTTGGGACCCACACAGCAGAGTTGAGCCCCTGCTTTCCTCTGCTGCACATATCTCCCACACTGTGTGCCTGGTTCAAGCATGGCCAGCTGTGAAGTAAAACTCCTCACCACTGTGGGTACAGAGCTGGGGGCATTGGGCACTGTCCTCTCCCAGATGCTCCTGTGGCCTCAGGAGCTCAGGCTGATGGAGGCCCCTCCTTAAGGAGAGTCTCTTATTCAACTGACCAAGCAAGAGCAGCATAGGCTGGCCCGAATACAAGTGTTCACCACCATCCGCCTTGGCCTCTGATGTACAAGCTGGGTAATCTTGTTTCCCCACCAGTGTAGCATTTGCAGTGGCGGGCGGGGAGAACTTCTCCTTGGTACTGGGGTGCCCTGGCAATCTGCCTGTTCCCAGGACGCAGACCAGGCTGAGACAGTACAGAGGTCAGAAGGAGAGGAGAGGGCACAGCAAGGGCAGGCTCCAGGAGACTGAGACAATGTAAGAGGCAGAGGTGTCCCCTGAACCCTTGTGCCACCCACTCCGCATCCGGAGACGCAACACTAGATGCCAGAGCCCTTGCTGGAAACCCCTCAGAGGGCAGCACATCTTGAGGCCTGGGCACAGCTCACAGGTGGCCAAAAAGGAGGCATACCCCTTAGGAGAAGCTGACTGTCCTGGCCAGGAGCATCCAGCAAGTGAACAGGATCTGCACCTTGGGAAGCATCCAGGGCCCCCAGGGTTGGTGCTCTAAGTCAGGCTCCTGCTAAGGAACTGCGCTGCTATCCTAATCAGAGTGCAGGAGTCTGCGACCCAGGAAAAGGTCTAAGGGAGACTGAGGGCCAGAGACAGGAGTCAGGTTGGATGAAGAGTTTCTATGGTCTTGCCTGTGTCGTGACCACCCAGGGTCGCCTAACAGGATTCACCCAACCATGGGAGTCTGACTCAGTCTGTAGGACCTGGGGACCTTCGTCTTGGGGATTTCCATGCTAGACAGCCCTTAGCAAACCAGCATAGGGTGTAAGGCAAAGGATGGCTGAGCTGAACACTCCTGGCTGAGAGTGAGGAGGTCAAGTAGGGATGATTTGAGATGGCTCAGCAGTTAAGAGCACTGACTGCTCTTCCAGAGGACCCAGGTTCAATTCCCAGTAACCACATGACAACTAACAGCTGATTATAATTCCAAGATCTGACAACCTCACACAGACATATAAATAAACAAATAAATAAGGGATGATTTGCTGAGCAGTGGCGATGCACGCCTTTAATTCCAGCACTCAGGAGGCAGAGATAGGCAGGTCTCTGATCTTAAGGTCACTCTGGTCTACAGAGCAAGTTCCAGGCCAATTAGGGTTACAATGAGAAACCCTGCTCCATCACCAAACAAATGAGGAAGATCTGAGCAGAGCCTGAGGTACGAAGCTCAGAGCTAAGTTCTGTAGATCTGAGCAGAGCCTGAGGTGCGAAGCTCAGAGCTAAGTTCTGTACCAGCTGGAGCTCCAGTCTGAGCTGGGCTCAGAGGTGAACTGGGGTTGGGTTAGTCCTCCAAGGCCCACAAACTATAAAAGCAGACTTTGGTTCGCCCACGGGACAGTAGGGAGATGGGGTTTTTCCAGCCTTGGCAACAGTTCCTCACCCAGGCCTTGGTAACTCCCTTATGACATCCAGCCTTGTGAGCTCCATAGGGAAAAAAGATATCCTGGGCCTTGCTGGCTACTGGCCTACGTGTTCCATAACCGAGCAGAGAACGCGGGGCCAGGCAGGGTGAGTGGGCCAAGGGAGCACGGCTTACAGCCTTTTAGGAACTGCTGGCACTGAAGCGACATGGCCCAGGGGCCTCTCTCACACCCTCCAGTCTGGGCATTATGTTAACGCCGAGACCAGGCCCTGAGGGTGCATGTGCCTCCCGAGCCGTGGAGTTCCCGTCCACAGGTGACTTACAATTGATGCTGCACAGGGAATGGGAACTAGAAAGTCAGCACCAGGAACGCTGAGTTAGGAAGGGACGTGGAACAGGAGCTGCAGAGGGAAGCCTGGTGCCGAGCCAGAGGCCCAGTACTCACCTCCAGGGCCAGGAGGCCGTTTCTGCAGGGGGCAGAGGTGGCCACACTTGTGCCTTTGTAAAGAGCCCTGGGCTGATGTCCTAGAGTTTGGACAGCACCCCTCAGAATAGAGAGGAAGGACAGAGATCAGATGCCAAGCGTGGGGCAGTGGGCCTGGGTACCAGCCGAAGGACAGCCCCTTCAGCAGGCAGAAGAACAGTCAATGCGGTAGGGGGTAAGACAGAACATTTATTGCTCCACTAGGTACACTCAGGGGCCAATAGGACACAGACAATTCTCCCAAAGGCTGGTTCCATGCATCAGCAGCAGACGCAGGGCAGCCCCAAGGTGACATGTGCAGCAGGGCCATAGCCAGAGCTCCTAGGCCATGCGCCACCTCTTCCATGGCCCCTCTCTGACCCTAGCTCCAACATGGGCTTGAGAGATCACTGGAGGCGTAGACGCCTATTGGACTCCCTTTGCACAGGACGAGCCTAGTCCCAGAGGACAGCACATCAGGGATCCTGGGCACAAGTGCGCTCACATGTGACCCAAGACTATGGGGTCACCTCCTTGGATCCCCAGGCAAGCCTGGCTCCAGCCCCAGGGATACAGAGGAGATAAAGGCAGGGCCAGGCTTTCTGGGTTAGCTCAACCACAGCTTGTGGCTAAGCTCTGGACCACCAGTGGTTGGAGCCTTTACCAGGGAAGGGACAGTTCACTGTCCCTGTAGGTCAGTCCAGGCTTCAAGCAGTGCCCAGGGCTTCCTCCGCCGTCAGCTTGTACCATCTGGTCTCAGCAACCAGGAGAGCCTCTGGCAGAGGGGACTTCATGTTGACAACAGAGAGCCTGTGGGGAGCAGTGATGGGGCGGAGGCTTCCCTCTCAGACGGCAATGCCTCCCTCCTGAACAGGGCCAGCCTACTCACCCCCCTCAACTACCCAGGAGGCCCCTGCCCCCCAACCCTGCCAACTATTTCTAAACACAAGCCTCACAGGCGGTGGCTGACCATATAAGGCAGCCTCTGGCCTCCTTGCTTGCTCGTGGTATTCCTGCCCAGGCCTGCTAGCCTGGAGTCTTGGTGGCGAAAGTCAGGTAGCCAGTGTGGCCCACAGTCTCCTTCATGGGTGTGCCACTACGGAAGGGGCTGGCATCAGAGCCCGCGCTGACCTCTGAGTCACTGGCTCCCAGGTCAGGCGAGGGTAGACTGATGGTGCGCACATTGTAGACCTGCGGCAGCACCTCCAGGGTGCTGAGCTCGGTGAAGCCTCGGGCCGCCAGTGCCTGGCACGTGCGCTGCACCTGCTCGATGCACGGAGAGAAGGAGCAGAAGCGCCCACCTGCAGGAGCAAGACCCGGGGTCAGAGGGCATCCAAAAGCCACCCTGGACCTAAGGCTGGCTCAAGACTGCCTGCAGACTGTAAGCCCTCAGACCAAGGAACCATGCAGGGGCCTGAGGAAGCTGTAGAGCTGTGCCCTGTCTGCTGGCCCATGTGGCCCTCCTCCCTGCAGGAGCCCAGGTCAGCAGCCAGAACTAAGCCCAAGATGCCTGGGTTTCCCTGGCTGCCAGCAGGCATCGCTAGCCTGCCTTGTAGGAGGCAGTGGAGGGCTGGGGGTCAGGGTTGTCAGAGTCAGGCCCAAGAATAGCTCTAACAATAGGGTAGCATAGGGCGGTGTGTGGGCGGCTGCTGTCACAGGAAATTAGAGGCTGTCGGTGGCTCTTGGGAACAGGAGGAGCCTAAAGAGAGCACAGTCTGAGCTCCTCCCTGCTGCCTCCCACTGGGGCAGCCCACAGGCTTCACTCAGCCTGCCCAGAGACTGTGAGACACCCTATCCGTATCTTGGCAGGGGATCATGAGCAAGTCAGGGCAGGGAAGGAGTGTGTACAGATGTCCCACAGTGCTCCCTGACACAGGACACCTGGCAGGTATGAAGTAGTCCCCTACTGTGCCTGATGTCAGCACAGAGAGCAGAAGCCACCAGAGACAGGCAGTGCTATAAACACCAGGCATACAGAAAAGGTATGCAGATCTGGGAAAGAGCCCAGAAGAAGGGGACATGGGACAAGACCCAGGACACAGGCACAGGTGCCTCTGGCCTACTCTGTGGAGGCTCCCCTGCCCGGTTTGGACCCTGCATCAGGGCCCTTCAGGTGTGGACCTCCAGGCTTCCCCTCCCAGCTCCAGGCCTCCTCAGTAGACACAGGGATCTGGGCAGTGCCTGTCTCAGAGGTTCCCCCACCCTCTGCCAAGCCTGCTTCTTCTCCAGAAAAGGCAAATCCCGGGGACTCACCAGCAGTCTCTCTGGCCCAGGGCCGACCTTTTCCAGGCCTCCCCTTTGCTCCGCCTCCACAGCATCTTCCCTAAAAGGGTCCAGCTGCCTGACTCTGCAGCATGGGTGTGGGGAGTCTGCAGGAGATGGCTGGGGGCAGGGGACTGCCTATGACCTCCATATTGGATCCAGGCCTGGAGTCCTGTCTTATAGATCCTGCCTGCACTGGAGTTGCCAGGGCCTGGGACTCAGTGAGTTCCTATCTAGGCTGAAGAATGGGACCCATCTTTCCCTAACCCTGGTCTTTAGCCAGCCCAAGTCAGTCCTCACTTTGGGCCAAAAGGAGCCCTGGTCTGGCCACTGCTACTGTGTGGCCTACAGGAACCTCGAACTCCCTGGGTTCTAGATGACCCAGAAGCTCAGCCCCTCACCAGCACCCTTATGAACTCCAACACACCTTCAACCTTGAGGGCATCCCAGGCATGGCCCACAGCTTCCCAGGGTGATGGGATATCCAAGAAGACAGCATCGGCCACATGGGTGACACCAAAGCCACTGCGGCACACATCCTGGGTGTGCACAGTCACCCACTGGCTCACGCGATGCTCCTGGAACTCCTCCCGGGCCTTGTCGGCCCGCTGCTGGTGGAACTCCACTGTGTGTAGGTGGCCAGTGGGGGCGATGCTGCGGATGATGGCATGGGAGACAGAGCCGCTGCCCGTGCCTGGCAGGACAAGAGGATTGAAGGGTCATTTGAGGACTACACCCACCCACAGCAGCTCCCCATCTGGGAAGAAGAAGGTCAAACAGGCCTAAGAGGACAGCTGACCCCAGGGTCAGAGGGTGTATCAAATCACGAGCTCTGTCTGCTCTTGGCAGCCTCGGCCCTGGGTTTGGGATACCGGGCTGTGTAGAATGGGCACAGGAAAGGACATAGGCGAGTCTGGGCAGGGCTAGCGCTGGCCTGTCCCATCCTGACCTAGCCTCTTCTAAACTGTGGCCAATCCACGAGCCTCACTGACAGCTGTCCCTCATGTTTTCTACCTCCTCCCGTGAGCTCCTTGACTCACTCAGGTCAGTGGTCAGCTCATCCTCCCCACACCTCCAACCCTGCTAAATCCACCCCCACTGCACAGGGGCAATTCTACCTGCTCTTGCTTGAGCTCACATGATCTAAAGTCAACCAGCTCCACCCTTCCCATAATGTCACCAGTCTGTTCAAAAGCCTCCACTCTTCCTTAGAAGCAGGGCTACCCTTCTTCACCTGACTTCATATACTCGAGGACCTGTGCTAGCCTGTGCCTCCACTCACCCTGTAACTGCCTCTTCCTGCTTGGTGACCATTTCTAGCAGTGTACCCTCTTGATCCCGCTGTAGCATGTAGCAGTGCTCTTACAAACCCCCCCAAACCTAAGCCGGGCAGTTGGCGCACACCTTTAATCCCAGCACTCGAAAGGCAGAGGAACTGCCAGGTATACAAGAGCTAGTTCCAGGACAGTCAAGGCTACACAGAGAAACCCTGTCTCAAAAAACCATAAAACAAAACAAAAACAAAAAACCCTAAGCTCAAAGTTAGACCCCATCCAAGTCTGATCACTCCAAGACCCAGGAAGTGACACCCACCACAGGGGCGAGACTGTTCAGTCACCCACCATCAAGACCCACTGTCATCCCACCCCAAATCATCAGTGATTCCTTCTCCTGCCTCTGGGCTTCACCCACCAGGTCCCTCCCTCTTTGTTATCTGCAGACGCTGGTCCTGCCTCTGTTCCTTTGTGTGTTTTGTTTGTTTGTTTTTGTTTTTTTCGAGACAGGGTTTCTCTGTTAATATGTACTCTGGAACTCCCTTTTGTAGACCAGGCTGGCCTCAAACTCACGAGATCTGCCTGCTTCTACCTCTCAAGAGCTGGGCTTAAGCCGGGATTGTTGGCGCACGCCTTTAATCCCAGCACTTGGGAGGCAGAGGCAGGTGGATTTCTGTGAGTTTGAGACCAGACTGGTCTACAAGAGCTAGTTCCAGGACAGGCTCCAAAGCTACAGAGAAACCCTGTCTTGAAGAAAAAAAAAAAAAAAAGAAAAAGAGCTGGGCTTAAAGGCGTGCACCACCAACCACCTGGATCCTCTGTTCTTTTTACCACTGTCAATCAGATCTATGCTTTGCACAGTGACCGGGCTTACCTTCCCATTAAAGGGCGGCTCCAGACTCCTAACAGCCCTCTGAAGGGCCCCCTCTTGCTTCCCAACCTCATCTTCTGTTCCTCTTCATGCCCCAGCCAGTGGCCTTCTTGCCAATGCACACCAGCACTGCACCCCACCTGGGGCGTGCGCATAGGCACTGCACCCCACCTCGACAACTTTTCTTTGGCTTTTGGTCGCACTTCATCATTTTTAACTCAAAGGTCACCTTCTCAGATCCCTGACTTTCTGAGTTTGGGGATCCTCAACCACGCATCCCCGATTATAAGTCTCTCACAATCAGTAGCACTGAATGGTCACCAGGCTCACTGCCTATTTTGTCTTTTTGAGGGCAGGAACTTGGTACCACATGGGAGCACAGGAGTGTGCTGACTGAAAAGGGGTGCGGGCCGGAGAGAGGCTAGTGCCTACTACAGGCCATGCAGAGAGTTGTTAGGGCTGGCGCTCAACTCTGCTGTCCACTGTCTCCCTCTGCAGGGAGAGAATGCCAGGATAGGAGGAACGGGAACTGTAGTGACCCCGAACCCCAGTTTCTTAGCCCACCACAATCACACCACCAAGGATCTAGTCACATCTGGTCCAGGACTCATCCCTGTGGGAGATACATGATAGACTGCAGCATGCAGTGGTCACAGCACCTAGGGGTGTGTGTGAGAGACAGCTGGCGCTCATGCACTTCTACTCCTCCCTCCTGTCCTTGTCTCAGTGACGGTGTTGATAATCTTCACTGGAACTAGGTGAGGGGCTGACCGTGAGTGTGTGTGGGGCTGAATTTTCACTACAATGAGCTCTTGGGATAATCAGCCTCCTTCCAGGAAGGCCAGAGAGACGAGCAGTCAGCACCTTGGCCAGCACCAAACAAGCCTGCTGCCACATCAAAGCAAGCCAGGACCCTCAGAGGGCACGGCTGCCCCCTCTTCTTCCTCCTCCCACCCAGGTCAGTCCCCATCAGATGTCATCTCACTCCCTGCAGTCACTCCCTCCCCACCGAGTGGAGCTGCTAGAACAGAAACCAAGTAATTCAGCACACATCTGCAAGATGGCTTGGCTGCAAACTTTTTTTTTCGAGACAGGGTTTCTCTGTGTAACAGCCCTGGCTGCCCTGGAACTAGCTTTGTAGACCAGGCTGGCCTCGAACTCACAGAGATCCGCCTGCCTCTGCCTCCCTAGTGCTGGGATTAAAGATGCGTGCCACCACCTCCTGGCTGACTGCAAACTATCTTAACTGTGGGTCTGACTCCCACCTTATGTAGGTGCTGAGCTCTGAAGACACCAGAGGAGCTCACCTGATTCACAGACCACAGAACCGGGTCGCAGCTCCAGCATCATGGTGAGTAAGGCAATGTCGGTGGAGTAGAGGATCTGAGTGCGGTGGGGCAGGTTCACAGTCCAGAGCTCAGGAGTGGGGTGAAGCACATACACCCAGCCGCCTCTGCTGCAGATCACCTTGGAGCCAAATGGGCGGCCAATGAGGTCCACTGAGTGCCGTAGGACGCCATGCCGGGTCTGGGTCTGTGCCCCACGCTGCACACGCACTGCCATCATCGAGCCATGGCCCAGTGACAGGATGGCTGTGTCGCCTTCCTTGATCAGCTCCTCGTATGCCACGAAGCTCATGGTGTTAACATCTGCCAAGTGTCAGAGACCTGGAGAAGTGGTGTGTGGGCGTGAGGCGTGAAGTCAGAGGACCAGGAGGCAGGATGAGGATCTGTGGTTTAGGTAGAGGTCTGTGGGGCCCGGGTTCTGAGCAGTATGGGGCAACCCAACAGAGCTGCACCCTAGCCAGACAAATACAGTCCTTCTAGGTCTGGAAGAACACACGAGTCAGCGCACAATAGTAGAGGCCCAACGATTCACACACCAGAAGGACCAGAACAAAGTCCTTATTCCTCAGCTGTGAAGACGGTGGCCTCCGAGAGGCGTGCAAAGGGGGAGAGCGAAGTCACCTCCAAGCCAGGATTCCGCGGAACCCCTTACCCGGAGTACCCCAAGCGGGATCCCGACGGCCCGGACGTTTCTCTGCACGGGACCTGCAGGCAGGCCCGGAGCGCCGCTCCCACCCTAGGCGCAGATGCCAGCTCCGAAACTCACCCAGTTTACACCGGCTCTCTGCTCCACACGTGGCTCCGCAGCGGCAGCCACACTTCCGGCGCGTCTTTGATGACGCCAACAACGCAGAGATTGCTGGGAGACTGCTCTGTCCTTTGCGCGCTCCGAGAGGATGCTTCCCGGCTGGCGTCTCCACTCCCGTGGTCTTCTGTGCATACTTGCGCGTTGCCTAAGAGATCCGAGCAGTGTGCAAAATAAAAGTCCTCTCCTCGCCAGCGGTTTGTCTGCGTGCCGCCTTTTAGGGTTGCCCAGAGCATGGAGCTTCTGCCCGCTGCATACGCCTACCCCTAAAGTGCACTTTGACAACTGTGTAACCCCAGGGCTTCCTTATTAGAGCCCACCAGAAGGTTTCGTCATTGCAATCAGCTCCGAAACACCCTGCCTGGAGCCCAGGATGAATCCTAGAAAGTGGAATCGGAGGCAGCGGTGGGACACCCAGAGACTTTGGCCAGGGCCAGGCCAAGTATAAGGAGCAGGGGTAGTTCGCAGCATTCCGCAAAAGTGGCCCCAGGCCAGGCCCTGCTATCCCTGGCATCTTGAGAGCTGGATGAACTGGGCTCACGCGTGGCCTGGGGAAGGAGCTGCTGGAGACCAGGTGGAAAGGGGAAGCTGTAGGAGTGTTTTGTCTCAGCAGAGCTGAATCAGAGCCCCCGTGGAAAGGTTCTTCCCCGGAGTGGAGCAGGAAGTGGAGAGGGGAGGAGCGCTGGGGTGGGGAGTGAAGAGCGTTCCTGCGGTCCTCAGCTAGTGGAATTGGAGGGCATGAGACTTGAGTTACTCAGAACCGGTAGCAGTGACCAACTCTGGGCTGCACTCCCCAGCCACCAGGCTACTGTAGCCTGGCAAAGTGGGGGTGGCCCGGTTCCACAAACATGCCCTTCCTAGAGTCCTGCTGGCTAGTGGGACTCCTCTGTGTGAAGGAACCCAGGTTCCTGACATTAGACCTCTCCAGGTCTCTTCCCTAGCTGGCCTTGATCTGGTAGCCAGGAAGGATGAGGCTTTCTTGGTCTCGCAGGCTGGGAAGCCACAGCCGTTAGCTGAGACATCCCAGCCCTTGGCTCCACAGTCCCTGTTCTAGTAGGCTCCTTCACTCCCTGATGGTGCGCAGCCCAATCCACACCCTAATTGCTCCTCTGGAGAGTTAGACTTTCCACTTCTCCTCCTCGGAGGTTCCTCTTCCCCAGCCTCTCAGCGGCATGGAAACCAGGGCTGACTATGTCTCTAGATGAGCTCAACAGGGGTTTTCCCTTGGTCCCAGCTGTCCACTGCTGTATCCCTGTCCCTCCTGTGTCCCTTCTCCAGTCCACCTTCTCAGATCTAGCTATCGTCATGCCTAGCTTCAGCCTGGATTTTTCAAGGTGGTGCACGTCTTTAATCCCAGCACTTGGGAGGCAGAGGCAGGCGGATCTCTGTGAGTTCGAGGCCAGCCTGGTCTACAAGAGCTAGGTCCAGGACAGGCTCCAAAGCTAAGGAGAAATCCTGTTTCAAAAAAGAAACAAAACCCATAAAAACAAAGAGGAGTTCCCTCTGACTGGCATAGCCTCCTGTTTCACTGTGCCCTGCAGCCCCTGCCCCTCTCTTTACCCTTGCCAACTTCCCCTTTGCATTCCACGAGCCAGGAAGCAGCGAAGCAGCAATGCACCCTGGGCACAGGACTGAGAGTGGCCTCTATGTGGAACCTAGAGCCTGGATCTGCCTGTGCCTATACTTGCCCTGCTGGGCTGGACAGTGCTGAAAATTCCTGGGACTCCTTTGAGGCCCTGAGGTCAATGTATGACTTGGGTGATTTCTAAGGAGATGGAATCATAATTCTACTGAGTGATGTCACCAAGCTTCTTGCCCAGAAGCTGCCAAAGCAGCTACTGTGATTGCCAAGGATAGCAGAGGGCCCAGTCGGGTCTAGGCTGGATAAGCAGGCCCTGACCTTTCTCCATTGCTGTGAGGGCCTCCAGGACTTCTGAGCAATGCCCCCCAAGTGGGGGACCTCACACCGATATGTGGTCTAAAGGCTGTGAAGGGCCCTTCGTCTCTCTACCCTGATGTTGTCTCTGCTGTTTGTCCCCCAAAGTTAGGCACCCTAGGACCACTGGGGGATATCTGGGCGTCCTAGCCAGTACTTCTTTCTCTCAGCGGCCAATCTTCCTTTAGGTTTCGGTCTTAGAACGAGACCAAGGCTGAAGGTCACAGGCACCTGTTCCAGTGCTGGGCGTGGTTCACTGCCACGGTGGACAGACTTCTAACTGCCTTCTGTTCCTCACCTTTACTAGAGTCCTGGCCTTGTCCTCGCAGGGAGATGGGAGGTGGGTAAGGGAGGGGAGGAGGCAGAGAAACTGTAAATGCTGGAGACAAAGAGGAAGTCCTGAACCCCCTACCCCCACCTAAGCCTGGACACCAAGTTTGCTTCCTCTCTATTTCTAGAAACAGACAGAAACTTGAGCACTTGGGGCTCATGCCGAACTAGTTTCCCTGAGAGGGGTAGGTACCCTGGTTGGCAGCTGCAGATATTTCTGAGGAGGCTGAAGGGGGCATAGAATACAGGGATTATAAGCTTATGGCACACCTGCTGTCTAGCCTGGGGATTTTTTTTTTTTTGAAACAGGAGCTCATGGAGCCCAGGCTGGCTTTGAACTCCTGATCTTCCTGCCTCCACCTCCTATGTGCTGGCATAATAGGTGTTTGTCTCCACATACCTTTTTTTTTTTTGGGAGGGGGTGTCAAGGTCTCTATGTAATCCTGGCTGTCCTGAAACTCACCATGTAGACTAGGCTGGCCCTAACTCGCAGATAATTCCATCTGCCTCTAATTTCTGAATGCTGAGATTAAAGGAGCTGGACACCACCATCCCCAGCACGTACTTTCCTATATGGGGTTGTTTTAATTGGCTTACAAAATAGTGACTTGACCTGGGCACGGTGGCTCAACCCTATAATACTAGGACTTGGGAAGCTGAGGCAGGAGGAGCCTGGTTTACAGGCTCTTGTCTCAAACAGAAGAGGTTGAAACTGGTCAAGGCAAGGGAGAGAACAGGTGGATTCACTAGTTGTTTTTGAGGACAGTGCAGCTGTGGTCCTTCATGCTGACCCGGGTAGAGGCAGGCCAGCAGGCAGGCTTTCTGCCCTGAGTTCTCTGCTCCATAGCCTTCTGCTGAAGCTCCAGCACATCATCCCTCAAGCCTGGGATTCCTGCCATCCCTCCTGCAGGCATTCTCTCAGGGCAGCCCGGCTCTGGCAGGAAGGCAGAGATCCAATCCCCTTGTTCACCTCCTTCTTGTCTTCCTTGCATCTGGCACCTGAACGGATTCTGTCAAATGCACAAGAATGAGAGGCTCTCTAGATTTTTTTTCTGGAGACAGGCTTTCTATGTAGCTTTGGAGCCTGTCTTAGAACTAGCTCTTGTAGACCAGGTTGGCCTTGAATTCACAGAGATTCACCTGCCTCTGCCTCTCTGCTGGGATTAAAGGTGTGTGCCACCACCACCCAGCGAGGCTCCCTAGTTTTGCACAGCCGTGAGTGAGGGGGGGTGAGAGGACACTAAGCATGAAAGCTCATTTCTATATTTTACCAACGGCACAACCGCTATTCTGCAGCCTTTTCCACCGACGGCTAGTGCCCTCGCTCCTCAGAGACCAGCATCAGGTCCAACCGGAACTAGTCTTTCCCGCTACACATCCTGATCTATCTGCAGAGAAGGGACACTGTCCTTTCTAGTCTGGATTCCTAGAATTCCTGGGATTGCTAGGTCATGGAGTTAGACCATATTTCTATTATAATAAATACTGCCAAATTACTTTCCAGAAAAGATGAAGTGGCTGGCAGCTGCAGGCAGGGTGCGAATGTCTGTCTTCACAGAGGAGTTCACAGCCGGCACTGTCTGGGGTCAGCCGTCCACATTTCCTCATACTTGGGTGTGTGAGGCTGGGGAAGAGAGACTGTTTCCGTGTGTTGGTTCTGATTAGTGAGCTTGTTTTTAACTGGTGCTTTCTCCACTCCGTTTGCCTGTCGACTGTGGGTACTGTCTTTGTGGGTGGGGTGGTAGGAACCGGTCTCCTGAGTTAAGGGCCAGGGGATGGAGGTTTGAATTCTCAATCTCTCACAGCTCAGTGTCTTGAATCTTTTAGGGTCTAAGTCCAAGTGTTTTGGCTCGGTTCCTCAGAGTCCGCCCAAGGTCAGAACACCCTGGGTGCTTCGGGGCTGGACCTCAGCCAGACTGCGCCTCTGGTGCTGCATCAAGAACACCCAGGAGATGCCTGCGGGCACCTTGAGGAAGGTCAGTGGCTCTGAGCCATTTAGTACCACCTGGATGCAGTGGATGGACGCCGTACCTAATGTTAAAGACCTGGAAGCTCTCGATAGGCCCCTTGCCACCGCGGTCTGCCAGACAAGGGAGGAGGAGGGGGAAGGCAGGAGCCCCAGCACCAGCAGGCTTTCCAGACTCAGTTTCCCGCAGCGAGGCAGTGTGTGAAGCAGGTCTACCAAGAATACTTAAGGCCCTGGGTTTCTGCCTTGGGGATCCTGCGAGAGCGCCGCGGGGGATAACTAAGCTACGCGGGGTCGAGACTCGGGGACCGCTGGGGTGGGCTGCTAGGGGGTGTCAAGGGCTGCTGCCACGGACAAAGCAACGGCACCACCCCAAAGCGCGGACCAATAGAATGAATGGGCTATAAATAGCCGCCAATGGGCTGCTGGCGACGCGTCCCTTAAGAGCTCCGGAGCAGCAAGCGGCCGCCGTTCGTCTGTGCTGCGCCTGGAGCTGGTTGGGCACTCTGCATCCCCGCTCTGTTCGGCATCCTGGTGAGCGGGTCCAAGGGTCAGGGGTAACCGCGCGGGGCGCCACGCGGAGGGGTGCGGGATTGGGGTGTCACGCGCAGCCGTGCTGCCGGGAGCGCGCACCGGACCCGCCCGGGACCAGGGATGCACGGGCGTCGGGTGCAGACGGTACAGACCCCGCTGACCTTGGCATCGTCCGGGGGAAGCCACGGAGGTCCCGAGCGGTCTGCAGGTCCCTGGAGGATGGTGTGCAGACCTCCTGACCCTGCGCTTTCCTGCAGCCCGTCGCCGCCGCCATGCCCTTCTCCAACAGCCATAATACGCAGAAGCTGCGCTTCCCGGCCGAGGATGAGTTCCCTGATCTGAGCAACCATAACAACCATATGGCCAAGGTGCTGACCCCGGAGCTGTATGCCGAGCTCCGTGCCAAGTGCACGTCAAGCGGCTTCACGTTGGACGACGCCATTCAGACTGGCGTAGACAATCCGGGTATGCACACCCCTGTAGGCGTCTGACTTCCGTCTCCCCAAAAAACCCCAGGGCAAGGGTCCCACTGCCCTTCCCTCAACCTCTGGCGGGCTGGGGTCCCCGATCCCCTTCCCGCGCTCAGCCGCAGGGGTCTGGGCAGCTCGCTCCAGCCTGGCGGTGACGTCACTGTCGCCGCGCCCCTCCCCCAGGCCACCCGTACATCATGACGGTGGGTGCAGTGGCGGGCGACGAGGAGACTTACGTCGTGTTCAAGGACCTCTTCGACCCCATCATTGAGGACCGGCATGGCGGCTACCAGCCCAGCGATGAGCATAAGACTGACCTCAACCCCGACAATCTGCAGGTGCGGGGCTGCCGGATCAGGGCGTGATGGGGAGAGGGGCCTCTGGGCTCACTCCCGCCACCACTTTGCGTCCTCAGGGCGGCGATGACCTGGACCCCAACTACGTGCTGAGCTCGCGGGTGCGCACGGGCCGCAGCATCCGCGGCTTCTGTCTCCCCCCGCACTGCAGCCGCGGGGAGCGCCGCGCCATCGAGAAGCTGGCAGTAGAAGGTAGGGGTCTGGTATCTGCCCGTAGAGCAGCTGGGACTGAGAGGGTCAAAGGTTCAGCCTTTCTTGCGCGGGGATACAGTTTGGGGCCGGGTACTTGCCCGCCCACCCGAGACTTGAACCCTGCACTCTGCAGCCCTATCCAGCCTGGACGGAGACCTGTCAGGCAAGTACTACGCGCTCAAGAGCATGACCGAAGCGGAGCAACAGCAGCTCATCGACGACCACTTCCTCTTCGATAAGCCTGTGTCGCCTCTGCTGCTGGCCTCCGGCATGGCCCGCGACTGGCCGGATGCTCGCGGTATATGGTACGAGCCCTCCCCCCCCCTCAGTCCGCCGGAGGGTGGAGCCCGGCCTGAGCTCACAGTTCCGTGCTTGGAGTCACCCTGTCCCAGCCCTCCGCGCAGGTGACCTTGATCCCGCAGGTGTGTGAGAACCTGCGGGAGGCCGCAGTCTCCAGGGATTTAAGGGTTGTGACCAGTCTCTCGGGAGCCGGTGCTTCTTGTTTTCTCTCCTCCTTCTCACCCCCATACCCCGCCGGGATTCTGCCAGGTGCCAGTGACGCAAAAGCCTCCGCACCCGTCCGGGCAGGGCTCCTACTCCTGCGGACTGTGAGGGCGGAGGCGTGCTTCCTCGGGGGGGGGGGGGGCTGCTCCGCCTGCTTCAGTCCCTTGCTTGCCACACACCACGTGATTGGTGCCCTGTTCGCCCTGTCTCCCTCCAGTGTGGCTGGGATGGGAGTCTTGGCGACAGCCCACACTGCTGTACCTCTCTAGAATAAGCACCTCCGTGACTTTGGAAGCTCTTTTGTTTGAGAGTCACCCATACGGTGTCGTTTTGGATGTGATCTAAGACCGTATTCTGGGAGGGTATTTGGCTTGACTGAACTCCTTCCCCAGGCACAATGACAATAAGACTTTTCTGGTGTGGATCAACGAGGAGGACCACCTGCGGGTCATCTCCATGCAGAAAGGGGGCAACATGAAGGAAGTGTTCACCCGATTCTGCACTGGCCTCACCCAGGTCAGGCCTGGTGCCCACACTCTAGGGGCTTGGTTCCTGGGAGGGGTTGGGGCAGAACCCAGAGTCCACATCTCCCCGCGTTCCTTGGGGCTTCCAGCCAGGTTTCCCCTCTGAACTCTCCCTTCCCCACCTCCAGATTGAAACCCTCTTCAAGTCCAAGAACTACGAGTTCATGTGGAACCCTCACCTGGGCTACATCCTCACGTGCCCATCGAACCTGGGCACTGGCCTGCGGGCAGGTGTGCACATCAAGCTGCCCCACCTGGGCAAGCATGAGAAGTTCTCGGAGGTGCTCAAGCGGCTGAGGCTTCAGAAGCGAGGCACAGGTGAGCGGCAGGCAGCACAGGTGAGGGGGCAGAGGGTTCGGGTTTCCTTGGTTCTGCTGACCTGTCTTCCCCCTCCCTAGGCGGTGTGGATACCGCTGCTGTTGGTGGAGTTTTCGATGTCTCCAACTCGGACCGCCTAGGCTTCTCGGAGGTGGAGCTGGTGCAGATGGTGGTGGACGGAGTGAAGTTACTCATTGAGATGGAGCAGCGGCTTGAGCAGGGTCAGCCTATCGATGACCTTATGCCTGCCCAGAAGTGAAGCCTGGCCCTCACCGTCACCAGCCTGCTGCTTCCTAACCTAATACCCGGGCAATGCCCGCCATGCATCCCTGATGTTTGCCGCTGCGGCTGAGCCCTTTAGCCTCGCTGTAGAGACTTCCGTCGTCCTGCGTAGAGTTTATTTTTTTGATGGCTAAGCTGTTGCTGACACTGAAATAAACTAGGGTTTGGCCTGCCCTATGTCTCATGAGTTGTGCCTCTCCTTTCCTAGGGACAGTGACATGGGTGAGTGGCCTGGCTGGCCATTTGTGCCAACTGGAAGATGGCATATTAGCCATAGAAGATACAGGGTGGAGAGGGAGGGAGGGAAGTGCTCTCTTAAGACTTTCAGTTCCAGCCTGAGCATCTAAGGACACTCCGTTTTGCAGGGTGGAGCCTAGTATTTCCTCAGCTCCAGCCAGAGGAGGGAGTCAGAAACTTGACCCGCTCCCAGTTCCTTTTTGCTGTCTTCCTGGCAGCCTGGAAATCCAAAGTTCCACCCCTTGCCCCTTGCTTCCTCCCCCCCCCCATCCAGGCCCCACCCTTCTCCAACACCTCCTCCAGCCTCCATCCTCTTCTTGGGGATGCTCAGCGGCCTCCTCTTGGTCCCTGAGCCCAGCCCTCCAGCCCCTTGCAGACTGCAGCAGGGTCCTTCCAGGCCACTCCCTTTTATTTACAGCTTGTTCTCCAGGGCCCCGATGGTTGCGAGGAGACATTCGTGCTCCCATTCATCTAGCTTTTGTGCCGCGTCATCTAGGAGACACAGTAACTCTGCTATGACCTATCATGGACAAGTCAAGGGGAAGGAGTTCCAAGGCTCACATCGGGGGCCCTGGACAGAAGACTGGGCTGCCTAAAGAGCCATCCTCCCGGTGGCCTATCCTGGCTGGGCCTCATGAAGGGATCTGGCCCACATTTGAAAGTGAGAAAGGACATCAACCCAGGGGCTGGAACTATGGTTCCCAC